AAAAAAAAAAACTATTTGAATTTCTGATTTTTGCGAGACTTAAAACCATTTATCATGTTGTAATTTGTAAAGCTGTAATTTTCCAGTAAATTAAATAAATTATTAATGCCTAATGACTAAAAAGTAATTTCCATTTTAATTAATATTCATTCTGTTAAATATTTAATTAAAGTAATATCTTGAAAAATGATAAGCACCCACTTAAGAATCACAACTTTACAGCTGTGATTAACTTAATGGCTTAATTAATTAATCATCATCGTGCTTAAGATGATAATTAAGCATTGTCATTAGCGAAACCACTAAACTCTGTTTTACTCTTGCTGTCAACCTCTGTAATTTATGATTATTCTATTTTTAGAAAATTTCATTTGTTTTCTTCAATGAAATAGAGACAACGTCGATGATTAAGTTGTGGGTAAAATACAAATGATGAAAGAGTCTTGGAAATAAAATTTAGCTTGGGGCTTTTACAAACCTACCACCCAATTCTTATGTATTTACAAATCTAACACCTAAAGTTTTCTTTTTTACATTTATGGCACCCAAATCTTTCATGTCAGATAAAAAATACCACCTTTTAACGTTGAAATACAATTTTTCATGCATTGATGAAGTTATGTGTGTGTAAAAATGGATGTTTTGGCATTAGATATGTAAATACAAGAGAACAGAGTGATACATATGTAAATGTTCTGTTTTTTATAGGCTTGTGTGAATTGAATCTCCTAATTTCTCCAAATTGGAGTATCTGCATATCTTACTTATTGATTATTATTCCACTAAAATAGCTTATGTTTGTTGGAAAATGATTTATGATATGACAAATGAAAAGGTTAAATTTGTTTTTCCCTTGATAATCATTTAATATCATGATAATGATTGCTGAAAAAGTGGTAACTTTTAGATTTGATATGTTCTTAAAATCATATTGATTCGCATGAATCTCGGTGCATATTTGGATCGAATGCTTTAAAAATCCAATTTGGAAATGTGTGCACTTCAATTTATGATCAAGGGAAGTGTCTCCATAAGATGAACAAAACAGTAAAAAATGATTCAATCTAAGCCCAAGTGAGCCAAATAATGCACTTGAAGCAAAAAGAGAAGCTTTTTAACATGCTTTGGGAGATAATGATATCTAAATATGACAAGTTCATAATCAAATCAAGTTTCTCAACAAGTCGAATCCAACGAACCTAAGATCACTTAATTCTGATTTTATTAAGGCATTCAAATATTCATAAAACTACATTTGATCAAGGGAATCACTTTGGGCCTTCAAAATCTATGCACATTCTTCATAAGAGAGGACCTAGAACTATAAGAGAAAGCTGAAAGAGCTCTAAGTTCCTGAGCTCCACAGCTGTCGTTGGGCGGTCGCTGTCGTCAGACCACCATTGCCTGGCCACGACCGCCACTTGACCACTGTTGTCTGGCCACCACCGTCGTCATTGGACCACCATTGTTTGGCCACCACTATCGACGTTGTCAGGCCACAGCAGCACAAATACCACCACCATCATCATTGAACCACCACTGTCACCGTCCCTAGACCACCATAATCTAGCGGCTCTAGCCTTCACCAATGCCTAACCTTTGCAGTAAGGTCAATGCCACCACCTCAGGATTCTGAATCTTTCTTTAATTTTCAAGGGGTGGGCTTCACCAGGTGTCTTCATCTTACAAGACTGAAAAATATCATCCAAAATGCGTGGCAGGGAGTTCTAAACTTATTCTTCACAAATAATTCCTTTTAGAACGCACGTTAAGGAGACTTCAATTCTTTCCTCACACCTCAACAAGATGCCATTAATAGAACCCAATTTCACTCAATTTCAACACCATTAAAGCCCTTAATATCAGCAGAACACCACCCCATTGAGAAGATCTCTCTGTGTCATCCATTGGTGTGATACATATTATTTTATTATCGTCAATAGGCCTCTCCCACACTCTATAAATAGAGTGCTTCTCTTTCATTGAGAGGGGACTTAGACCTTGAACTAGAGGAATACCAGAGCTTGAAAGAGATGGAACTAAACCCCTGTGCATTAGTAAGATGTCTAGTTAACATCACCCGCTTCTACAACCATCAACCATCATCGAAAACCATCGGCCGCCCCCTGCCCATTGCAACAAAATTCCTTGCAGTATCATAATATGTGTTGCAGAATCTCAATGTGTGTTGTGAAACAGTGTTGCGCCCCACGGAGCAATACGTCATCCATTAGACTATGCAGCGACTACCTCGAGAATAGCGTATTGGAGTTTTAGAAACCGTCCCCGGCCGCAAACATGCCTCACTTTTGTGCTGCAATTATAGTACATTGAAGAGCAGTGTAGTTATTTTCCTCCCATGCGACAAGGTCCTTTACGGGTAATCTCCAATTCATATTGGATTGTTCTGAATTTGGCTAAGCTAGGCGATTTTTTCTCTTTACGGGTTTTGTTTTGTATCGAGATTTCCTTCAAGCTATGTATGTAAGCCTGAAAAATATAGAAAGGTCTATATGCAATTTTGAAGGCACAAAAATAAATTTGCTATCATGATATTATATATTCCCCACACGTGGAAAATTAATCTCATTAATTATGATTATTTGCATAGCTTCTATCCATTGACATTGAATCAAGTCAAACATGCCGGCACGCAGAGCTCAGTCCGCTAGAAAAAAACAAATAAATCAAAATTTATTTTAAGAATTAAAATTTTACATAGATGCCACCTCGCAGGGAACTTTGTCAACCACATTAAAAATATTTAGTAATCTATCTGAACCATTTAATATTTTATTTTATTTATTTTAAAAATATTTGACCCATTCATATAGTTGAAATGGGAGTCCGATTAATATTAAGTAATTAAAAAAAATTAATTATAATGATTTAATTAATATATAATCATTTTATCTTCCACCTCAAGAGCTTGCAAATTTATTAGGATAAGAGTTTTGAGTATAATGTATAGCTAAATGAGATTATTATATTTTCTCCCCCCTTTTTTATCACTTTCTTTTGATGTCATCACATTGATATATTTTGTTAGGGTGCATGGGACAATGTAGCATTTCTCAGTGTGCATGACTTGATCAAATATGATAAAAATCAACTAAGCCAAACACATTTGGCTAATTCAGTTCAATTTTAATATAATGATTTTTTTTTTTTTAATGTTAAAAACTTGATTCTTTATTTACATCAAAAAGATGTCTGCATTGATTTAAAATAGATCTAACAGTCCATAAGAGAAGAGTACGATAGAGGCGTAACTAATATTAGAAGATTGAGAGAAAAACATAATCCAACGAGCAAAGTCAAGCTAGCCAAGCTAACTGGACCAAAACCGGCGGAGCCAAAAGACATACAAGAAAGAGATAGTGTGATTCAAGTACAAGTCATCCAATCGGAAATGAGACGAAAGAGCGTTGAAGCAATCCACTGTTGGAAAGTTGGCTCGATGTGATGGTCTACCGCATAGTAGAGTTGACTTAATGAAAGATGCAGTTCCGCAAAGTATCTCTGATGACCACATGGAGACCCCACAAACTCCTCAATAGGAATCAAAGATATTCAACCATGTTGGATCGGCCGATTGAACCAACCAACCAAGCTCGGCTAACTGAGCTGATCATGTCAACCCGAAGTCAACTAAGCTTAGTCGGCGGAGACAGAAGCAGACAGACAGTAAGTCCATGCTTGTAAAATATCAGAAATAACTTAATACAAATAATTTTCAAACGGGGGTAAAAATATAATATTATCATTATATTATCTCTATTATAAATAGATGAAACATTTTACAAAAAATGGACATTATTGAACATTATTCATTACTGTTCATTTCTTTCTCTCACTCTCTCTCTCTCCGCTCATTTACGCTCTATTCTTATGGTGTAATTCACGTAAAGTTTAATCTTTAATTTTGAAATTAGTTTTAATTTCCATCAAATCAAATAAATAAAAAAAATAAAAATTATTAGCAACATGGGTAGGAAGTTAAATTCAACTTAAAAAATAATATGAGCACTTAAAAAACTTATTTTGGATTAATTTGAATTTATAAAATTTGATTAGTTAGAAAGAAGATAAAAATGAAAAAAGAAAAATCTAATTTTGAACAGAATATTAATCTTGAAATGAAATTTTAATCGACTGAAGAAAATACTCTATATGAATGTACGGTGTAAGTGAGTTAAGCCAACTCATGAGCCGCCTTGGGCTCGACTTGAAAACTGGCGAGCCCAATGAACTAACAAGTCAAGCCCAAGCCACCCCCCACTCGTTCGCTCGTGTGGTGAATGGTTTAAAAAATAATAAACCATACTCAAAATATAGTTAAATTCAAGATTTTTCTTAAATTACCGAAAGAGTAAAAATAATATCTTATATTTTATATCAAGTGAATACTTATTATTTATCATCTAATGCGCATGAACTGGCTTTAACTAATAGAATTAAGCTCGAGCTCATGGTCCCGACTAGTTTCATTTACACCCCTATGTATATGCATTCAAAACTACTATCTGTCATAATAGTTTATAAATATATTCTGAATATTTTAAAAATATATCCATAATTAATAACTATTTTATAAAATAAATAAAATTTAT